CTGAGGGACCAGGGCGCTGAGGGACGGGGCACCGAGGGACCATGCTGCTGAGGGTGGAGAAGTTGGCAAGAGCCAAGATGAGTCCAAGCTCATGCTCAGGCCAGCCAGACACCTCCACTCTAGAACTTCCTGTAGGTCACCACCTGAGCTTGTCACATTGTAGCAAGTGGAGGTCGAGCCTCCGCCCCGCCAGAAAAAGAGAACAAGGCTAAGCCTGCTGCCCTCGAGTTGATTCTCACTCCAGCGACCCTGCAGGGCACGGTCGAGCTCCCCTGTGGGTTTGTGCCTGATGGGAGCCGAGAGCCGCCTCCTCTTCCTGGAGAGCACCTGGTGGGCTTGAGCCCCAACCCAGAAGCCTCCATGCCACCAGAGGCTCGCCACCTGAAGTATGCCCGGCCCCTGGCCCTGAGGCTCTTTCCCAAGTCTTAGGGACATGTCGCTTGGGGACCTGTGTGGATGTTGCTTATGGAAATGCTGGGCTGCAGGCAGTCCCCTGATGTGGAGTCTGGGACTCTGCTCCACCAGAGAGCAAACCTCTGTGTCCATCGTTCGCTTCATGCAATTGTTCCTCCACCTTCTGGAAAGGAGACAGACGTGGTATAAACAGGGAGCGGCAAGTGAGTGGGGTTACTAATCAAGAAAGATGGAGCATGTAGCAGACATGACACCGTGTGTCTGAGACAGATGGAGCATGTAGCAGACATGACACCATGCATCTGAGACAGGTGGAGTGGATAGCAGATGTGACACAGTGTGTTTCTGGGGCTCGGAGGGGAGGCCCCAGAGGGGAGGGTCCCCTCCTTCTCTTGCTGAGTCAGGGACCAAGATGCCCGTACTTGCTGAGCGGCGTGTCCACGTCGGACTGGTGTGTCTTGTAACCACATCTTTCACGCCCCCATCCCGGCCTCGTGGGCGCTCAGGGGGGATGCCGTGGACGCCCGTGTTCTGCCGTGGGCGTGGCACGGCCCCGGGCCCACGCCGCACCGTGTCCCCGCAGTGCTACAAGAACTCCAAGGACCAGCAGCCCCAGATGGAGCTGGCCCTGCAGGGCTGCAGCGTCAGCTACGCGCCCCAGGACGGCAAGAAGAAGAAGCACCAGCTGAAGCTGCTGCAGCCGGGCAGCGACCCCCTGGTGCTGGCCGTGCAGAGCACCGAGCAGGCCCAGCAGTGGCTCAGGGTGAGCGGCCCTGCCCCTCGCCCCGCCCTCCCCACGCTGGCCTGCGGCCTTTGCTTCCCAGTTTGCTTTCCTGGTGGGCGGGGTGTCAGGCTCCAGGGGAAGCTCGCTCCTCGTAAGAGTGGACGCAGGTCTGTTCCAGGCCCCACTTCCTCCCTTCCCATCCTCTCCGGCTCCTGAGCTGTGTTCCAGGGCAGGCGCTGCCCTCCCTCTCTCAGCTGACAGTGCCTCGTGCCTCCCGGCCTCTGGGTGGTCAAGGGCCCCCAGGTGGGCCCAGGCCCCAGGTTGAAAGGTGGCTGAGGGCCGCAGTCTCCAGGGTGCCGAACGTCAGGCTGTCTGACCAGCAGGGCGGCCTCCTCCACGAGGCGGGACCTTGTTCTTGCGTTTGTTCGCTCGTGGGTTTCCCAGCGTGGCCATGCATTGGCCTGACTGGCGTGCCTTGGACAGAGGAGGGCCCTGCATACCTGGGGGCCTTGATTCCGAGCCTGCCTTCTCGGGCAGCCAGACACCCTGGGACCTGAGCTCGCCTCCCGCTCTGGGTGGCACTCGCAGGGCACCGAGAGGGGCAGGACGGGGGCAGGGAGGCATATGGAGAAGAGTTCTTGCCCACACTCAGGGCATCTTCTCATCGCTCCCCGGCCCCACCAGATCTGCAGGGCAGGGCTCCTGGCAGCTGGGGCTCCAGGCTACGGGTTCTGATGGTGGGTGGTCACAGGTGCAGTTGTTGGGTGCCATCGAGCTGACCTTCGTGACCCTATGGAGCCTTTCTGGCGGTCATTAAATGGGTGATGCTGTGGGCTCAGCGTGGGGCTACTGCCTGCAAGGTCAGCCTCACTGAGAGGAGATGGCCGCCGGGCAGTCCCGGGACCTTGTCCTGCCTCACAGTCAGTCGGAATGAACTCAGCGGGGACCAGGTTCATTGCGATATAGGTCTCCAGGCCTTTCTTCCTCGCCGTGCCAGACAGGGCTGGAGCGGCAAGCTCTCAGGGCACAGCACCGCCCGCCGGG